AAGAGTTTTCAACTTGTTGCTTAGCTTTAATTCCTTGAGCATTGTCTATCGATTGGAGATGATGAAACCTTTTACCATAATTGCCGTTCGCTGCCAAATGCGCCGAAAATGTGCTGAAAATTCATGCAATTGACTCTCCAGTCCAGTCGTTCCACTGTCCAACTGACAAGTTGAAAGAAAAAGAAGGAGAGAAAACATAAAAGTGGCGAAAAAAAAACTGTTTGAACAGTTCGTTATATCAACTATCGTTAGCTGATCGTAATGACTATTTTTGGACCGTGCGACAATGTCTGCGAAAGCAAAGCCTCTCATCCAGTTACCCCTCTATATCCGATTGCTCCAGTGCCTGAATGCCTGACTGGCTTTGGTGTTGCCATAAGGAAAGCCTCGCACAATGATTGATCGCTATAAAAATCGATAATGGATGAGCGTGCCAAACTGTTTATGCAAATCGGAATTTCAATATAATCCAAATACAGTAAAAAAGCCAGTAAAGCAAGGCCATCGATAACAATAATCGATGAGTTGACCATCGAAAGTTTATGAAGGCTTGGGCACACTGAGAGGTCAGTGGATGACTCTTTATTGCTAGCTATCGATTGTTTACGTATGTTAGTTACTGGTCATATTATTACTATTTGAGCCTACTATTTATCGATTAGGCTGTTATCGATATTGGTATTTATGCTTATGGATCTAAATTGGCTAAACTGTTGTCATCATTTACTATTCATTAGTCAGTTTCTTTAGCTATCGATAATGCTGTTATCGATTGCTCATGTTGCTCGCATTGCAAACGCATTTATCTATTAATTAAAGCTCGATTTTTCGCTTATCTGAAATGATTGATGACAACTGATTGCAGCAGCTGCTGTGCGCGCTGTGTGTATGTTGTGTGTGTGTGTGTGTGCTGTGTGTGTCTCTTTGTAAGCTGCTCAATCAGCTGCCATTTGCATAAAATGTGGGTAAAGATGCGCTTAAATGCGGCGACAGCTGATGAACGGGTCTTTTGCGGCTCGAAAAGGAAAAGTTTCACATAGTTTGCTGCGGCTGCTGACAGCAGCAACAGCAACACAATAAACGACAACAACAGCAACAACAATGACAGCAGCTACCGTCGCCAGTTGGCGTCGCTTTCAACATTCGCGCAACAATTTTTCCAGGCAATGCGGAAAAACAAGTTTTTCCCATTTTTGCGAGTCACTTGATTTTTCGTCTTTTTGGTATTAAGGGCAAGCATACATTGTTGTTGTGTTTGATATATATACATACATTTATATACATCTTCTTAGCTTCCTGCCTTAATGTTGGTTTGTATGATATACCCTGTAAACTATTTGAATGTGGTTCAAAAGGGTTTTCATGTTGCTGAAAGAGTCGATATTAATGTATAGTATAAATACGCTTTATGATATATCGATAGAATCGATAAAAATCGAAATCGAATTGCAGCTCTTTTTTTAAAAATATTTCCTGTATTATAATCTTTAAGCTATATATACATATATGACAGATCATACAGGGTATCTTTCAGTTGAGCACAGACTGCTCTCATTTCATTGGTCTCCCCGCCAAACATTTTCCATTTCACTTTTTGGCGCCCGCTTTATGAAGTTATTACGAGACAAACCTTTCGAGTGGGTGTACTCGGAAATGGATGCTTGGAATCAAGGGGGCGTGCCATGGACAAGTGTGAAAAATGTAACAGCCATGCGAGGCGACACGGAAAGACTGTGGCTCGCATATCAGAAATTGGGGAAGGGAAACAGCCAAGTGCAATTGTAATTGAATAATCAAAGCCAATTTCAAATGAATGCGTTTTCGATTCAGGAATTGGAGCTTGAATGAAAACTATTTATCACTCAATTAGAGCGGAATACCTATAAGTGACTAAGGTCTTATAGGTAGTACAGAATGAATGATCATTAGAAACGTAGAGCAGCAATTATATATTATATATATTTGGTTAATATATATCGATATATATATATATATATACGTGTTTGTATAGGAAGTTCACCTAACCAGTATATTTCTAGTTAGTTTAGCCACGTATCTATAAGCTGGCTATATAGGAAATAACTAACATTTCAAAACGTACTCGGGTAATATTTGTTAAGCAGTTAATTACTTAATTAGCAGGAAATATACTTGAGGCAGGTCTAGATGTTTATATACAATATAAGTCTTATATGGTATGCATATGTATGAGATGTCTTCAGCTATATATGAATGGAACTGCGAATTATCCTATGGGAGAGACTTACAGATGTTTTTAGGTAGTAGTCATATATGAGCATGCAGAGTGTGTATAAGGATGAGAATATACTCTATGTAGGCTGAGTTTATTGGGTATANTATATATATATATACGTGTTTGTATAGGAAGTTCACCTAACCAGTATATTTCTAGTTAGTTTAGCCACGTATCTATAAGCTGGCTATATAGGAAATAACTAACATTTCAAAACGTACTCGGGTAATATTTGTTAAGCAGTTAATTACTTAATTAGCAGGAAATATACTTGAGGCAGGTCTAGATGTTTATATACAATATAAGTCTTATATGGTATGCATATGTATGAGATGTCTTCAGCTATATATGAATGGAACTGCGAATTATCCTATGGGAGAGACTTACAGATGTTTTTAGGTAGTAGTCATATATGAGCATGCAGAGTGTGTATAAGGATGAGAATATACTCTATGTAGGCTGAGTTTATTGGGTATATGAGATCATTGTACAAAAAGGTGTATTATAATGGGTATATAGAGTAGTATGGGGTAAGTATCATACTCCATATATAACTCTTTTAAATTGCAGTCTATAGACTAGTGCGGAGTCACTTTTAGCCTTGGGCAAACAAAGTTTGTCTGCCCTACAGTTTCTGGCTAAGAGAGTTTGATTTGGTTAAAGTTTGCAGAAGTTTTTGGCTGTTTGCTGGATGTAACTGTGTCAGCTTGCGATTTCGCAATGCTTCATCTTCCCGTTGATCGTGGGCAGTGTGTGTGTGTGTGTGTGTGTGTGTGTGTATGTTGACCCTTTTTAATGAGCAAACAAATATTGGCTCTTAATTGTGGCCAAATAAGCGCCGACTGCTAGCCGAGTTGTTTATGGCCGTAACGCTTGATTGGAGCGCAGCAAATACAATATTCAAATGACAAACAAAAACAAAAAGAAAAGACGCAGCTTTGGCTAAATTAGTCAGTCGCATAGGCCGTGCAGGCGCCCACACAGAGCGTTGCCAGACTGTTCGCTGACAGTTCTGAGCCAAAGCATTGACCCGATTTGACAGAAACGAAAACGAAAACAAAAAGAAAAACTGAAACAAAAATAGAAATAGAAACAGAAACAGAAACAGTTGGCGTTGGCAACTGGGTCGCAACTTGACTTGATGGCAGCTAAATTAGTTGCCTACTTAGTTAGTTAGTTACTCAAACTATGTTGAAAAGCGGAAAAGAAACAGAGAAAAAAAAAACACCAAATAGAGTTAGTAACAGCTGGTTGGCTGGCTGCCTGGCTGGCTGACAGCCTGGCCTCAATCAACGTTGCCAGACTGTCTGCAGAGAGTGGGTAACTCGAAGTTATCTAACGCGCATTGCACACACTCACTTAGACCATTATTACATTATATATTTACATAAATTTGATTGCAATTCGCATGGCTAATTGAGTGAAACAGCAATTACGAAGCCAACAATGCCCGATCATTCCCATATGCTTCAGCACATCAGCAAAAGACATTTCGAATGTCGAATTTCATTCCCAGTTTCATATTTCATTATCTGTTCTACATTCTAAATCTCGATCTGTGCCCGTAAACTCATTCTCATTCTATGTGGCTTTTGAGTTGAACAAGTCATAGATCCGACTCCGAAAGCCATTTCCCACTCTATCTAGATTTCGACCCTAATCATAAGCAGATTCGAACACTCTATGATATGCATTCTTGATACAGATCAATAGGCTGAGAGCCCATTCCCATTCCATTCCGTTTTCACTTCTAATGTGACCTGATCTCGATCCCTTGGCATGAGCTCATTTCGAAACCGTCTCGAAATTTCCCCTTTCGCATTCTACTATGGAATCTAGTCGCGACCCACACGCATTAAGAAGGAGGTGGGGATGTTGATCCTCTGCGCGATTTCAACACATGTCAAAGCGCATTTCGGTCTCGACAATTGCCAGACATTTATGACAGCCAGCACAGCGAGCAAGTCAAGAGATTTTACATTTGCCCACGCGCCAAACAATAACGAAAAACCCACGAAACGGAATGCATAATGCTCGATATAAATCTTTCAAGTACTCCAAATAGAATATGCATACCCTCGATGCGATTGTGGCCTAGCCGAGGATAGATGAAGTATATAGACTATCGTTGCACTCTTCGAGCTCTGTTGTCGATGCCGATGTCGATGTCTACTGGCTATCGATTATGTTGTTAGTTATCGATAACACAGTTATCGGTGTTTATGTTTTGCCAATGCTTTATTTGATAATTGGTCAGCTATCGTCTATTTATGTTTGTGTGTGCTACGATACTTTTGTCAATAGTTATCGAATGTATTGTTATCGATTGTCTTGGTTATATATCGAATTAGCTTAACTGGTTAATATGAAGTAAACTCATATATGCCCCGCTATGGGGTAGGGTATAAACATATGTATATTTCACACACGCACGCTTGCACACACACGCACACACACACACGCATTCAGTTGGCTTTGATAGTCATTGAATTGAACGCAATTGCATTTGCTGTTGCTGTTGCTGTTGCTGTGCTGTTTGTTGCCTTGGCATGCGAGCTGACAGCCATTTGTCTGGTTAGACACCTCGGCCCATGTCTTTGGCTTTGGCTTTGGCTTTGGCCAAGAATGCCATGACAAGTGGGCAGTGGGAATGATTTAATGGACAAATTCCGATAGTTACATAAATTTTGATTAATCTATGCATCTCAATCTAAATAGCTGTGTATGTGTGTTTGTCTCCTTGCAG